TCGCCCACCTCCCCCCCCCCCCCCCCAACTCGGGTTCGTTGAACGTCCCTACAGCCCCTGCGTCTGTTGTAAGTGCGCAAGGATAATGTTACCACGGCACAGTCACTTCTTGTCGCTCAGGCCCATTAGGGTGTTGGGCTTGATGATCACCCACTCCCGCCCAGGGCCCAGGGCCAGGAGCTTGGTGACCAGCACCTTGATGGATCCCTGGCACAGGATGAAGATGAACATCTGCATGGGTGGTGGTGAGGGCGTGTGTCAGGTGGGATGACTGGAGCTGCGCCTGCCAAAGGTTACAGTAATTCGCAGGCGTCCTGATGGGAGCGCGTCGCCAGGGATGCCAACCAATGGGCGCCAGTCCCACTCACCGCAGAGCACTGCCGTGGGTCGGCGTCGGTGAGGCCGCGGTGGGTCAGCTTTTGGAGGAAGGGCGGCGGGTGGAAGGGCAGGGTGGCCGCCGGCGCGTCGCCAAACAGCTGCGACACCAGGCGGAAACTGAGCATGACCACAGCCACGGTCTGCAGGAGGGGATGGCAGGGAAGAGGGATTGATCGCTTTGACGCAGCAATACACGTCCGAATGTATCACATGCTGGACACGCCCTGGTCCGCCCGTCCAAGCCCGTCCAAGCCCCCCCAGCCCTGGTGGCCCCTCTGCTCTGCCAGGCTCGCCGCCCTGCCCCCCTCCAACCCACGCACGATGAGGCCGGTGCGCATGTTGATGCCCGCCACACGGGCGGAGGCCTCCGTCTTCCATGTATCGAGGCGGGCCTCCAGCTTCTTGATGTTCTTGCTCCCGCTCCCACTGGACTTGGCCTCCTCGAGCTTCTTTGCGTGGCGCGAGAGATTCTCTTTGAGGGCACGGTACGAACTCGTCCGGTACACCAGGATCCAGTTGATAAGCTCTCCCGAGATGGCGGAAGCAATGCTGAAGAGCACCACGCCGAGCGGTGTCAGGTCGTGACTCATCGCCGAAACAGGGCTCCTGGTGAATGGGCCGCGAGATTATCACAAGGTGTATGCAACCATAGTTTAAGGCTAATTAACCAGGTTCTGATAGATAGGTGGAAGCGTGCGAGGGTGAGGTACAGGGAGGATTGGGGTTTTCTCTGCAACTTCTTTGCGCGATTTGCATCCTGGATTCCACGAAGACTAAATCTCCCCATAGCAGAGGACAGAAGCAATTCATTCCCTGCACGGCCTGGCACTTGAATCTTCCTCAAGCTTTCACGAGTTTACAAAGCTCGCACCCTGCCAGGTTTGAGAATAAGTATGGTATGCAAGGTCTTTGATACCTTGAGAAGTCGTGGCAGCAAGGGTGCTCATATCACGACAATCGCGCCTGTGTGGCATTTGAGAAGACAATCAGATCACTGGGATCTCTACTGGCGACTTCGGTCCATGATGAAGCCCGCAAACTCCCCCAGAGTCTCCTGACCTGCAGCGGCGAGTGTCACGCCATGCATATTGGTGGCACAGCTTCAAGGTGCAGCAGAGGAAGCAGACTTAAAAGGAGGACACCCCCAGGTTGAGTGTATCACCACCACATTCCCTCAGTCTGATCACACCTTCCTCTGGATCTGAGCACAGTGGTGACTGCTCCTTACAATCTTTCCTGGGTTCGTCAGCCGTGCTTGTCTTCAGGCTCTCGGTCTGGAGAGGAAGTGCAAGAGACCGAATGAGTCTGGGAGGGCATGCTGCTGAGGGTATCCGACGAAAGGCCATTTCATGAAGTTCATGAAAACAATGAGCCACCCTTCCCTTGGCAGCCAGAGGATCTCACCCCTGCTTCGGCAGCACTTTTTTGGCGTGCGACATTATCATTTCCCGACGATGAGTTTTTGCTGCTGGATGGGTTGCTGGATGTGGGTTCGGGTGTGGCCATGCTGCTCGAGGAGATCCAGGCCCAGGGCTGTAAAGGTGATGGCGTAGGCAGTCAGAGCCGCTGTGGACTGGAAGAAGAGCTCGGGGCGGATGGGCATCAAACTTGCCGGCCAAGTATCCAGGCACACACAAGGGTGTGAGGTTGTTTTGGAACGCATGTGACGGGAACCGTGCACCCATACATGCCCTTCGATCGCATGGGGTCCGGCTTCGGGGCAGCGCGCTCGTGGCACTTTCGCGCCCTCTTGTGCGACTGCCACTCCACGTTTCCGAGAGTACATCTGAGATGGTGCCGGCTAGCAAACTGCCGTCCCTGTAATGCTGCCTCAATGCCACGCCCCTTCCGTCCATGTACTGACTTCTAGGCTCCCTGCATTCCCTGGGCTTCGTTCCCAGCTGCGGCACACCTGCTCCGCGCCCTCCCATTTCCCGCCTGCCCCGGCTCTCCTGACCAGGTTACACCACGGCCTGCACGGCACTCAGCGCTTCTTGGCCACGCCGACGGTCTTGCCGCGGCGACCAGTGGTCTTGGTGTGCTGCCCGCGCACCGTCAAGCCCCAGTAGGCGCGCAGCCCACGGTGGTTCCTGATCTTCTTCAGGCGCTCCAGATCGTCACGCAGCTTGGTGTCCAGCATGGAGGAGGTCATCTGGAAGTACTTGCCGTCCTTGACGTCCTTCTGCCTGTTCAGAAACCAGTCGGGAATCTTGTAGGCGCGGGGGTTGGCCACGATGGTCATGATGGACTCCAGCTCCTCGGGCGAGAGCTCGCCGGCGCTGCGTGGGATGTGAGGAGGGCAGGCGGGTGGGGCGAGGCCCGCTGGCGATCCCTTTCGAACAGGAAACCCGGCAAGCCTTCTGGGCTTCGGGTCTCTGAGCTCAGGAGAACAGAGGGAGGCGGCCCCCTCTGATGCCCCAGCCAGCACCCTGTGCCCAGAGTGAGCTTTCCCCTCGCTCGCACAGCCACCCCCAGCTCCCCTCCCAGCGCCTCACGCACCGGCGGGTCAGGTCGACCTCGGCCTTCTTGCAGCAGATGTTGGAGTAGCGGCGGCCGATTCCGCGGATGGCGGTCAGGGCATACTGGATTTTCTGCTTGCCGTCGACGTTGGTGTTCAGCACACGCAGGATGTGCGTGAAGTCCTCGGTCGCCAGCAATGACTGCGGAGGGTGTGTGCAAATCGCGCTGGTGAGTGCCCAAGCGCCCGCAGCATCTCAGCTGGCCCTCCCGACGTGGCGCCACCCCCCGCCATCCCCCGAGCCAGTCCTCCACCCAGCCACAGCCTCCACGCACCCCCATGGTGTTGGGTCGATCCTCCGGCCTGACAGAGCTGGGAACCGAGCTGAGAAGAGGGCGAGGCCGTTGTCGTGTGGCCTGCTAGTGGCGAAACTCTGTAAAGCCGCCCGTCCCGGGACGAAGAAGGGCGCCCTCAGGGCGCGCAATGAGCACTGGTCAGGGGAGAGATTCCGATACGAGAAGGTATGATCACGGGAATTTGACGGTGTGAAGTGGATGGTTCTACCAAACTCAAGCCCCAGAAATGTCGGAGGAAAGCCGAAAGCGTCTGAAGAAGGCTCTGGACTCTTTGGTGTACCTCCCCACCCCCGACTCGACAGAGGTCCCTTCAAAACCCGCTCCAGCGGCCAAGGGACAGACCTGGGATCGCAGGGATCTATTCACTCGCCTTCAGACTTTCAGATCTGCCACATGGTTTGCGAAGCCTGCCGGCATCACTCCGGCTGACTGCGCTCGGCATGGGTGGGAGAACACGGGCGTGGACACTCTGGCCTGCGAGGTGAGCATGCAAGTGGGGAGCGTCTGGGACAGCGCAGGATGCACGCCCTGCATGTCTTTCTGATTTGTGCATATGTTATGCCAGAAGCTCGTGGAGTATGGGGTGGTGCTCCGTCGCCGTGCATTGCATGCACATGGGTGACGCTCCCAGATGGTAGGGGGCTTTGCATTGAGGAGGGTGGAAGGGAAGCAGGAAGGGTGGGGCGTCCCTCGCACCCATGCGACACGGGCCCCACGAGTCCACAATCCTGCAGTTCTGCGGCGCACGGCTGGTGTGTCCCATCCCCGACGCGGCCGAAGCTGAGGACGTGGCGGCCCTTGCCTCTCGATACTCGGAGCAGCTGGTCAGCAAGCACGCCGCCAGCTGCCCCTGGCGCTCGGCTGCATGCCCGGTCTCCCTCCTGCGCTTCCCGCCCCTGCCCCAGGTGAGTGCAGACGCGCGCAGGGGCAGTGCGGTTCCAGGCCACCACTCCATCCCGGCCGGCTGCCAGCCAGGGTGGCACACCCCGAGACGCCTCCCTGCCCCCCGACAACTCCCCCAGGCGACGCTCGCCGAGGACCTAGCCCAGCGTACGGCGTCCCTGCGGCGCCTGGTGTGCCTGCCCCCGATCGCGGCTGGGCAGCTGGAGGCCATCGCCGGCGTGCCGCGGGCCGGCGACCTCCTCGCGCGCCTGTGCGGCGCGCAGGGGGAGCCGCGGCCCCATCCCCCCGCCCTGACGGCCCTGCTCGCGGGGGCCGGCACCGCGGCCCGGGGCTCCCCTGCCTTCGAGGCCCGCGCCCGCCTGCTCGCGCTGCTGGGCTGGTCGCTGCGCGACCTGGACGGCGCGGCGCGGGGCGGCGGGGGCGGGGCCGCCCGCGCAGGCCCGCCGGCCACGCCGGGGAGCGCGGTGCTGACCTGCGCGCTGTGCGGCGCCAGCGTGGGCATGTGGTCCTCGTTCCCCTCCACGCCCCCCGCCTTCGCGGCGCGCTCGCCACCAGGCTCCGCCGCGGCGGGCATGGGCCGGGCCCGGACTGGGGCCTCGCCGGCCTCGACACCGGGGACCACGATCGCGGGGGGGGCTGCCGGGTCGACACCTGGACTCCCAGAGGCCCCCGCCCCCGACGGCCCGTTCGGCAGGCCCGGGCCCCCCTCCACTCCCGCGTTCGGGCTGGCGACGCTGGCCACCTGCGCCGAGGAAAGCGCGGAGAGGGCGGCACGGTGCCAGGGGGTGCTGGGCGCAAAGCGCGCCGCTGCCGAGGCGACGCAGGGCGCCGCCGACGCGCAGGCCGCTGCCGGGCCGGTGCAGTACCTTTCCTCCGCGGCCCTGCAGCGGTACGCCGCGCTGGAAAGCGCGGCAATGGAGCCGCTGGACATGCACCGCTCCTTCTGTCCTTGGTTGCCGGGGCCGGGTGGCGAGCACCCCGGCTGGCGCTGGGTCTGGGGCCAGCTGTGCGAGGACGGTGGGTTTCTTCGGTGTCCGCGGGGTGGTGGGTCCTCGGGAATGCCCCGGCTTTGGGGAGAAAGGCATTGTCCACGGTGCATGGGGACGCCAGTGCCATGATGGAGATGCTGCGACTACCATCCAAGCTACCCTACTTGACCAGCTGCCTGTCCGCCCCGCAGGGCAAGAAACGGGTGCCTCCCTGGATGGTGGGCCCAAGCGCGGGGAGGACCTTGCAGAGGAAAGCAAGACCAAGGCGTGGGACCCCAGTGCCCTGCTGCGCACAGTGCTCGACAAGGTGTCTGTCAGGCTCTGAGACTTGCCTCCTCATGGCAGCCGGTACAGGTGGGTCCTGCCTGTTGCAGACCTGACAACTTGTGCCACTTGTGTGTAAAGAAGAGAAATTACCATCAAAGAGCTGTCAAGATTGGTTGGGTTCAGTACAATCAAGCAAATAATTTTGCACCAGCATAGGCACGGCCAGAGGTTCGTTCAATGGACACAGAACACCATGGGCCGCGAACCTGAGCACCCGGCGCCTCCTCTGCCCCTTCGCATCAGATCACCTGCCCGCCCCAATCCGCCCCCGGCCCATGCATTTGTCCAGGTGGGGGGCGAAGCGGCTTGCAGCCACCCGACGTGCACAGTTGGGACATGAGACGGGGTCGATGGGGAGGGAGGAGGCGGGCACCCCAAACACATCCACGCTGACTCGGCCAGGCGGCACAGTGGATGCCGCCTCCTTCTCCACGCAGATGTTGCGCGGGATCCGCACGTCCTCCTGTTGGCACAGGGTGGCGGGCGTTGGGTTGATGGAACCGGCCTGTGGACAATTGCCATGCGACTGCGCATTCCCGAACCAGGGGGGGTGGGGGTAACACTCACCAGGCCCTGGGCCACGAGCGCCGCGACCTCGTGCACCACCTCCTCCGCGATCTCTGAGCTTGGAAGGGAGGGGCCAGCCATCGGTGGTTGGAGAGATGTGCGCCCGGGCCAGCCGACTCTCATGCATCCTGAAACCCGACAGACGCTCGCCCGGCGGTTCCGGGACGCCCGGACACACCGTCGATTATGGAGGTGTACACCTCCAGCGTGTTGTGCAGCAGGGAGTCACTGTCCAGCAGCGCTTCTTTTAGCTGGGCAACATACTGGATGCGGGCTTTCAGCAGGCGCTCCTCCAGGCCCAGATCCAGCGGCTTGGCCATGGGAGCGAGGACCGTGGCTCCCCTACATGTTGACACGCAGCCCAATCCGAAGAATCGCAGCAGTACGCATTGGGATGTGCTGCTGGTTATATGCAACGTCCTGTCCCTTCATGTGGCCTGCAGCGAGGATACAAACTCGGACGAGTGTGTCGTGCGTGCTGTGGAGCGATGTCCTCTTATCTGACCACCACCAATTCCTGCCTCGCACAGGAATCTCAGTCGCCCGAGGCCGTGCATTGAGCGGGTTGGTCGCTGCTGTAAACCTTTTTCTGACACCTGGGCACAATGAGGAGGGCTTACGGCATGTCCAGCACCTCTCGTTCGTGCGCCACCCCTCCCACGTCTTGCGCCACCCTCGGATCCCATGCCGGAGCCCTTCGACGCACGCACCTCAAACCCTTCACACCTGTGACGGGCAACACCCCTAGGAGCAAGAGGAACCTACAGATCCAGTGTCGAGACTTCCCCAAGCCTGCCTTCGAGAATGAGAAGTCTTTCAAGGAGGCTGCCAGCCTGTCCTCTGCAGCCACTGCCCTGCCCCGGCCCCAGCGGTCCCTGCGGGTGGCCATTGCGGGGGCAGGCCTGGCTGGGCTGTCGGCAGCAAAGTACCTGGTAGATGCTGGCCACACACCAATACTCCTGGAGGCCAGGGATGTGCTTGGCGGCAAGGTGGGCTGGGGGATTGGTGGAGGGATGTATTTTGAGGTAGAATTACAGACACACAGTTCATGCTACATACTGATGGTAGATGCCCTGCTGCACCTGTCATACCCCCATCACCTAGCCTCCCGGCCTAAATTCTAGGCGAAAGTCAGCGTTGTTGCTCTGAACAGCTCACCGGCTACCCCTCTGTACCCATAGGTCGCTGCGTGGAAGGACAAGGATGGTGATTGGTATGAGACGGGCCTGCACATCTTCTTTGGTGCCTACCCCAACCTGATGAACCTCTTCAAGGAGCTCGGCATCGAGGACCGGCTGCAGTGGAAGTCGCACTCGATGATCTTTGCCGTGCGAGAGTCGCCGGGGGAGTTTTCCAGGTTTGAGTTCCCCGACCTGCCTGCGCCCCTGAACGGCATCGTCGCCATCCTCAGGTCTGGTGCTGGGGGTTGGGCCCTGGACGTCTATTCCCATGATGTATGTGGACCACATGATGGGATGATCTGTGTCCTTGTGCCTTGGTTTTGGAGGGAAGGCCCTCAGAGTTTGAAACAGCTTCAAGCTGGATCTGAATCGCGTCCCCAACCTGCCCACTACAGGAACAACCAGATGCTGAGCTGGAAGGAGAAGATCCAGTTTGCGCTGGGCCTCATCCCCGCCATCCTTGGCGGGCAGGATTACGTGGAGGCGCAGGACCACCTCACCGTCAAGCAGTGGATGCTGAAGCAGGTGGGGTGAGGTGCTGTGCCGAGGGCAGGCTGTAGGCGCCGGGCCGACCAAGGCCTTGGGTCGCTGGACGAGCGGCAAAGCTGGGAGCCCAGTGCAGGGTCAGCGCCCCGCACGCCCCCCTCCGTCACCTCTGAGCCTCCCATCCCCTTGCCCACTGCCGCAGGGTGTGCCTGAGCGGGTGAACGACGAGGTGTTCATCGCCATGGCCAAGGCGCTGAACTTCATCGACCCCGAGGACCTGTCCATGGTGTGCGTACTCATTGCCCTCAACAGGTTCCTCCAGGTGCGAGGGCTGGGGCACTGGTGCAGTTGTGTGCGAGGCCTGTTCCCCCGCAATGAATGGCTGAACCCCCAAGGCAATGCACGTCTCGAGCCCCTGCGATGGGTGTGGAGCCTCCCCGGGGTGCCTGAAGAGCTGCTGCATAGGTTTGGCCAGCGCAGGGCCACCCTGGGCGCCCTGCAAGAACACTCTCCCCAGACCCCAGCGTGTTCCGCGGCCCTCACCCGTGCATGCGTCCTTGCCCAACACCCCGTCCCTTTCCTCCGCCCAGGAGCGACACGGCAGCAAGATGGCCTTCCTGGACGGCGCCCCCCCCGAGCGCCTGTGCCAGCCTGTCGTGGACTACATCCGCGAGCGGGGCGGGGAGGTGCGAATGCAGGCCGGCATCCGCCGCATTGAGACCGCCCCTGACGGCCGGGTCACGGGTTTCAAGATGGCGGACGGCAGCAGCCTGCAGGCAGATGCCTACATGTCGGCCATGCCGGTGGACATCGTGAAGAAGCTGGTGCCGGAACCCTGGGCCGACCAGCCCTTCTTCAGGTAAATTTGCTAGAGTGAGTGTGTGTGTGTGTGTGTGTGTGTGTGTGTGTGTGTGTGTGTGTGTGTGTGTGTGTGTTTTAGGGGGGGAGCCCTAAATGATCAATGCTGGGCAATCCAAGGGCACCTTGAGGACTGTGAGTGGCCATTTGTGAACCGGGGCCTTTGATCCTCGCCCCTGTGCCGCAGGAAAATGGACAAGCTGGTGGGCGTCCCCGTCATCAACATCCACCTCTGGTTCGACAGGAAGCTGTCCACCGTAGACCACCTCCTCTTCTCCAGGTCCCCACTCCTCTCTGTCTACGCCGACATGTCCACGACATGCAAGGCGAGGCTGGGATTTGGGACATTGGGAGGTGCACCTGGCCGGCGCAATTTCCAGGAGCAGCCAAGTTCTCGCTCGCCCCTTCACTGGGCATGGTTCTGTCACCCCCACCACATCCCACATCCACCAATCTGCGACCCTGCACTCCCCACAGGAGTACCATGACGACAACCGGAGCATGCTTGAGCTGGTGTTTGCGCCCGCCGAGGAATGGATCGGGCGCAGCGACGAGGACATCATCCACGCCACCATGAAGGTGGGCGGCGGTACATCTGTCTGGACGACAGGATGTGGGGTGCCTGCCTGCGCACGGATGGGGTCTTCTGACCCTGGCCCTGCAGCAGCCTTGCCCACCCCCCCTCCTCCCTCACAACCCCTCCTCGTCCTCATTCAGGAGCTGGAGAACCTGTTCCCGGGCGAGATTAAGGCCGATGGCAGCCTGGCCAAGGTGCGGAAGAGCCACGTGGTGAAGACCCCGCTCTCTGTCTACAAGACGGTCCCCGGCTGCGAGGCGGCGCGCCCCTCCCAGCGCACGCCCATTCCCAACTTCTACCTGGCGGGCGACTACACCAAGCAGCGCTACCTGGCCAGCATGGAGGGTGCCGTGCTCTCCGGCAAGCTGGCCGCCCTGGCCGTGGCCGAGGACGCGTTGGAGAGGGCGGGCGAGGCGCCGGCGCCCAGCCTCAACGCGGCGCAGCGTGACGCCAAGGAGAGCGCCGTGGAGGCCCCGCCGGTTGCCGTCTGAAAGGATTATATCTGTTGTGAACTCCCACGCTCTGTACCCGGCACTGTAAGCCCGTAGCGCTTGTGACGAAGGATGATTGTCTCTGTCATTGAAGATGACCGGGGGTGCAGGGCGCGGATGCCGCCGAGAAATCACGCCGGCATCCCTGGCGATCATGGCGTGCCGTGCATCATGCGACAATGTCCAGGCCCCGAGCAACATCCCCCCATGCCAGCTCATCAGAAGTCCATCCCGTCGTCCTCGAGCGCCGCCTGGAGCTCCTGCTCCTGCCTCTCCCTCAGCTTGTCTGCGTCCTCCAGCTGCAGCCCGCCCAGCGACTCATACCGCATCGCCTTGAGCGCCTGTAGGACAGTGAGAGGGCCTCTGGAGCTCAAACACCGCGCTTGCACTCCCCCTTGCCCTTTGACCCACTTCCCTATGACCCGGCCACAGAGCCAGAACCCATGCTTCCCCCTTTCCCCAACCAACCTCATTGTGGATGTCCATGCAGAAGGCGATGCGAGCGTGGAAGGTCGCCGCGGGCTCGCCGCTGCCGTACACGTCCCGCGTCGCGCCCGCCCGCATCTCGCCCGCGGCGTGGTCCAGCTGCGCTTCAATGCTCCCGTCCCTGTGGATGCGGTGTCCGTGGAGCGGAGGTCAGTCATGAGGCTCCAGGGCCATTCATGCAGAGAGCGGAGCCTCAGGGCGGTGGGAAATCAGAGCCACACTTGCCCCCGGATGCCAGCGTCACATGCCTGCCAGCCTCGAGAGCCCCGCC